AAAAAAAAAAAGAAATGTTTCCTTGCTCACATTATAGGTGACTGCACTTAAGTGTTATTTCTCTAAGAGGAAACAGATTGATTTTTCTGGTCTGCTCTTGCAGAAGTAATTGTGAGCTTTCTGAGTTACCCTTGACTCAAGGATGCTTCTGCAATAGGAATATGGTAACAGCAAGGTTTATTGTTTTCATTAACACCTGAATAAAGGACTATCAGAACTGGAAACATAGGCAACCATGATACTAGGAAAGACGTGTGCACAGAGCTGGGAAGGATATAAGATGAGAGGAGGCACTGGGTCTAGTCTCAACAGATGACCAGCTCAAGGACTTCAGGCCAGAGCATGCAATGTATTGGAGCTCAGCCTCTATGGGTTTCAAAGGTCTAAGTAGGCAACATATCAAGATATTCAGTGGACTGACCCTAAATCTAAATTCTAAAGGACACGGCTTTTAAGCTAGGAGAGTTCAGGACAGGTTGAGGATTTTTTGAGTCCCAAGTGCAACAGAAAAAAGTAACTGGTATTAAGAAATTCTGTATCATGTTCTATGAAGTAGCTAGGTATTTTAACTATGATTTGAACTCTTTTCCTCTGTTAGCAATCACCTGCACATTCAAGTGCCTAAATCAAACTAAACTTAAGTGTCATTGTTCACCCTGGTGAGGAACAGAAATGAGTGAAACACTTGCAAAGCTATATGTGGCCCTATACATTGGTGGTGAACACTGACTGAATGCTTACCATCTTCCAGGCACTTGTTCTAAGCTACTTAGATCTAGAATATCATTTAATCTTTACAATAGCTCTATGAAGTTGATTCTATTTTTATTATCTCCTTTTATCAAGGACAAAAGTAAGGAAGGCACAAAGAAGTTAAGTAGTTATAACCCACACTACAATCCTTTTGGAAAGAATGTAGTGTGAAGATTAAAATTTGTCTCTGAGTTTTTCTTTCTTCCCAGATCTTATCCATTTTTCAAGACCCACCAAAAATTTACTTCCTTCATGAGGCATGCATTAATAGACCTATCCTTCTCGAAATTACACAGAATCTTCTCAAACTACACATCTGACAGTATTTGTGATCCTGTCTATGCTTTATCTCCCAAAACAGCCTATAAGCTCATCACAGACAAGAACTGTGACACACACGTCTGTACATTCCCTGCCCTCACTTCCAAATGGTAATGCTTGTGGACACAAGGTGTGGAATTTAACTGTTAACTTGAATTGGGTCACATTATCAAAGTATATTTTTGCTATTTTCTTAAGTACCAAGAGCAGAACTATAAATGTATATAAAAATTTCACATGTGAGGAATCCAAGAGAGAGGTTCATTTTTACTCCACATACCTTTGTAGGGTATTAGGTTTGATAGCAAAAGTTTTACTTAGAAAACTCAAAATTATTTTTAAAACTGAGTTTAACATTTTTGGCAGGAAGAGGAGCACAGTGAGTTGCAAGAGCATGAACCAGAAGAAGAAATGTTGATTCCCAGCACTGGCTCTTTCTCGAACAAGGTTTAAAGCTTCCCTGAGCTAAAGAGAAGAGAGTAAGCAGAGGGACTATGAAGCCCTGTCCCTGCTCCTTGCTCCTTGACTTTAAGGCTAAGAACATATTTAGTTCCAAAAAGTTCATTGCTCAATCATATACATTTTAGGTGACATAATCTTCTAACTTAGTACATTTTAGACTTTTCATATTTGTTGTCAATGTTATTCACTGTGTACATGTGTATCTTTGTGTGTATGTGTGTGTGTATGTTTCCTTAGATATTTTTAGAAGGAAATAAGATTTGTCAGGACTTCAGGGTAAATTTGTTACTGGAATTTAGCCACCAAAATTTTGCTCTGAGTTTTCTGACAGTCAAACCCAGAATGTAAATATCTTAACCTATAATTGTTTAGAATTGTTATTTCTACTCATAGGGTATTAACACTCAGCATTTGTTTCTTACAAAGGAACTGGTTTTGTAGAATGTATTATTCCAGTCTGCAATCTTTCCTGGCCAAATGTTTAAGCTTGTTTAAAATGGAAATCATCATCAATTACCTTCCAAGACAGGTCTGAGTTTATAACATGCAACAGTACCAGGGAAACCAGAGTCATCTTAGGGATTTTGATACTGTCGAAAACTGATGTCCACACAGCATTTCTGTTTGTACTTTATTCATGGAGGGTCATCTAATATATGATAAAAAGTGAATGTGTGTGTCCACAATATAATTTTTTCAGAATCAATACGCTTTTTCTATTAGCTTTTAAAATCTGTTTGCATAAATGTTTCTTTTCCATCCCAGCCCTTCTGTGGGTTTTTGTGGGCAGAGTGACTAGGGACATGATCTTTGCAATATTTCATTTTGTTATCTCTTATTATTACATGGTGGCCCAGAGTGTGACATGAATAAAGCTGTCTTGTCATCAAAAATGCATTCATTCACTTAACAAGTTCCTGAAAATAATGAAATGGTTGCTAAGCAATGGAGAAGTTTTACATTCCCAGGGAACTGTGCAGATTCTAAAAGCAAAAGTAGTTCTGAGAGTAGGTAACAGTGTCTCTGGAGCCCAGCTAAACAACACAAAGAAAGTAACATGCTCTACCTAGCAGTAAAGAGGCAGCATCTTTTTGTTTTTCCTTTTTCCTGACCCAGGTTTCCAGAGGAAAAATATAGGCTGAAAATTTCCTATGAAACAGTGTTCTGTGTTCAGTTATGGATTACAGGTAGCTGGCAAGTTAA